AATGGGTTAGGTAGTGTGAAGGGCATAAGAAATATTAATTTATATTATTATACACTTCTCGCATAAATTAAAGGAACAAACAAAATTTGTAATTTTTTTGACAATTTTCAACAGTCTGTATTTCAGTGAGAAATTGTCGTACAGGAAATGAAAAATATAGCTTTTGAAGCTTGAAAACTTTAGATTTTGAATCATTTTGTTACAAATTTTTCGTAACACCTGTAGCCATGCAATTCATGGATAAAGCACAAAACAAAAATTTTCCAAAATTTTTACTTTATTATTTTACTCTACGGGCATGAAAAAAATTTTTTTGCACTATTCGGATAGATGGATAGATGGACTAGATGGACTATTAGGATTTGACGTAGGTTGTTCGATCAATGGTTTTGTTAAGTCTATTTAAGTCCAGTAATGGTCAGATCATGAATTTTACTAGCTCGTGTTTGATAGAAAACACTTCTTTTGTGTATATCTAAAGTACTCCCTTGAGAATAAGAAACTTTGCAAACATTGCACTTATAAGGCTTTTTATCTGATTCCAACTGACTATCACTTGACTCAGTTGGGCTTACGGAAGGCGCAACAGTTATGACAGTATTATTATTGCCTTGTTATATAATAAGAAATATTAATTTATATTATTATACACTTCTCGCATAAATTAAAGGAAAAAACAAAATTTGTAATTTTTTTGACAATTTTCAACAGTCTGTATTTCAGTGAGAAATTGTACAGGAAATGAAAAATATAGCTTTTGAAGCTTGAAAACTTTAAATTTTGAATCATTTTGTTACAAATTTTTCGTAACACCTGTAGCCATGCAATTCATGAATAAAGTACAAAACAAAAATTTTCCAAAATTTTTACCTTATTATTTTACTCTACGGGCATAAAAAAAATTTTTTTGCAGTATTCGGATAGATGGATAGATGGACTAGATGGACTATTAGGATTTGACGTAGGTTGTTCGATCAATGGTTTTGTTAAGTCTATTTAAGTCCAGTAATGGTCAGATCATGAATTTCACTAGCTCGTGTTTGATAGAAAACACTTCTTTTGTGTATATCTAAAGTACTCCCTTGAGAATAAGAAACTTTGCAAACATTGCACTTATAAAGCTTTTTATCTGATTCCAACTGACTATCACTTGACTCAGTTGGGCTTACGGAAGGCGCAACAGTTATGACAGTATTATTATTGCCTTGTTATATAATAAGAGATATTAATTTATATTATTATACACTTCTCGCATAAATTAAAGGAAAAAACAAAATTTGTAATTTTTTTGACAATTTTCAACAGTCTGTATTTCAGTGAGAAATTGTACAGGAAATGAAAAATATAGCTTTTGAAGCTTGAAAACTTTAGATTTTGAATCATTTTGTTACAAATTTTTCGTAACACCTGTAGCCATGCAATTCATGGATAAAGTACAAAACAAAAATTTTCCAAAATTTTTACCTTATTATTTTACTCTACGGGCATGAAAAAAAATTTTTTCGAGCTAGATCAATGCATAGGTCATAGCCTGTTCATTTAGCTTCAATTTGCTTTTTGCAGGAGTGAGATACGACCATTTGTCTTCGAGATATCGAATTTTGAATGCAAAAGGATCTTTTTTCACTCAATTGTCGATATCTCTGAAACTACTGGTCGCCCAGCGAACGGACAGAGGATTTCGTTTTCTGTAGAAGATTTCCTACAAAAATCTGTCATGGTTGATTGGAAAAAAAAATTTTTTCCACCTGTAACGTTAACGTGAAAAAAGAGCAAAAAAGTGCCAATTTCCCTTTTTTTGATTAATCAACTGTATCTTCGGCAATATTGGAGGAAAAACTTATGTTAAAAAAAATTTTACAACAGTCTAACGTACCCCAAAGACTCCCCTAAATTTTTAGATCGATTGGTTCAGCGGTTTTCCTGGACCGATTGATTGAAATTTTGAAAAAATGAAGGGAACAAGATATTAATTCCTTAAACTTGACTTAATCTTTTTAAAAATCAACAATTTCATTTTTTTCGACTTTTTACTCAATTTTGAGTTTTCTCAAGATTGATTAACGAAAAAAAAAATCTAAAAAAATTGAAAAAAAAAAAACGTAAAATTTTCTTAAAAAAATATCGAAAAAATCAACAACAAAAAATGTGAAAAACGGCTCACCCTAAAGGCCATCCCTGTAACTTCCCGCTAATTTATTTTTTGTAAAGTTAAATAAAAAAAATTTTTTAAATTAAAAAAAAAATTTATTTTTTTTTTATTTCTGACCTGGCCATTTCTGGCTTACCTCGTTGATGCTATGGACATATTCAAACCTTTTTTTCCTAAAAAAAATTTTATTGAATAGAATTAAAGTCGATATCCAAAAGGTGCCCATGGTACTCATTGCGCAAAATTCTGAGCGATAAATTTTTTACGTTTTCTACAGAGCTATTACGTGACACAAAACAGTTTTTTTCAAAACTTTTCGACTTCTGGTAATAAAAACCAATCAACAGTTTTTTCATTATTATTTTTAACGAAATTACTCACCGTAGCTTTTAAATTCCAATTTATCCCATAATGCATCCCAGGCGACATTTATCTGCCCCAGAAGTCGCTCGGCTAATGACCTTTGTTCAGGAGGGGTACAGATATCGACAAGTTGGTGAAGAACTCGGCGTAAGTGCTTTGGTTTTACCTCGTACGTACAACCGATTCCGGGAAACAAATGGATACCAACAACGTGCTGGACAAGAACGACATCGAGCAGCGACTAGTCGAGATGACTGAGCAATCATTCGACAGGCCATCCAAGACCCTTTTGCTCCAGCAAACGTCATTGTTCGAAACTTCCCGAATCGTCAACAGTGACAACAACAACAACGACAGCCGCGAAACCTTTCTCGATCGACGGTTAGAAATCGTTTTCGCGAATCTGGACTCCGTGCTCGAACTGCTGCCCGTGGACTGATGTTGACCGTTGCACACCGTAGAGTTCGTCTGCAGTACGCTTACAACCATGTGAACTGGTCAATGAGAAATTGGAACCGCTTTTTTTCTGACGAGTCTCGGTTTTGCCTGCATGGTAAAGACCGAAGACCCCCAGCTTGGCGTCGTACAGGTCAACATTATCAAGAACATTTCATTCGTCCCATAGCTGCTTACGGTGGAGGATCGGTGATGGTTTGGGCTGCAATTTCACGGGATTCTCGTACTCCTTTAGTGATTGTTCGAGATATTCTCAATGCTAGGCGTTACATTGACCAAATCTTGCAACCTCTCGTGTTACCGTTAGCAAGAAACAGGAGAGGATTTATTTTTATGCAAGATATTGCTAGGCCTCACACAGTGAATATCACCTATCAATTCTTTCAGAGGAATAACATTAGATTGTGAGGCATCCTGCAATGAGTCCTGATCTGAATCCCATAGAGCATGTCTGGGACATATTGGACCGTCGATTGCGTCAAAATTATCCCCATCTGAATAATTTAGCAGGGTTAGAGAACGCTCTGATAAGAGTATGGTATCAGATCCCTCAATGGATGATCCGAAATTGCATTTCAAATATGCGACAAAGGTTGCAAGCTGTAATTAGGAGTAGAGGCGCGAACACTCGATACTAAACACATTACACACTTTAGAAAATGAATTTGGAGTCGTAAAATACTGTTGAGCTGACGAACCACGGGGTCTCATTTTTTCCAAAGAATCTAACACACGCGCGTAAGCACAAAAGAAGCGTAAATCCGACCGTGCAACTTCCACATGGTATGCTTTGGATAACGCTAATGCCGGCGGTAAATCAGTAATCAATCAAAAACCTTATTTGTCTTGAAAACGAAAAAAAAAATTTTTTTTCCAATCAACCATGACAGATTTTTGTAGAAAATCTTCTGCAAAAAACGAAATCCTCTGTCCGTTCGCTGGGCGACCAGTAGTTTCAGAGATATCGGCAATTGAGTGAAAAAAGATCCTTTTGCATTCAAAATTCGATATCTCGAAGACAAATGATCGTATCTGACTCCCGCAAAAATCAAATTGAAGCTGAATGAACAGGCTATGCCACCTATGCATTGATCTAGCTCGAAAAAGTTTTTTCATGCCCGTAGAGTAAAATAGTAAGGTAAAAATTTTGGAAAATTTTTGTTTTGTGCTTTATCCATGAATTGCATGGCTACAGGTGTTACGAAAAATTTGTAACAAAATGATTCAAAATCTAAAGTTTTCAAGCTTCAAAAGCTATATTTTTCATTTCCTGTACGACAATTTCTCACTGAAATACAGACTGTTGAAAATTGGCAAAAAAATTACAAATTGTTTTTGTTCCTTTCATTTATGCGAGAAGTGTATTTATATATAAATATATAAATTATCTCAAAAAAAATATATATAAAAGAAATATATGAAGTAAAGAGTTAAAGATAGAGTCAACTAATATTGTATAACGAGTTTGATAAAAGACTATTATATTTTTATTTATATATTATATTTTAAATCAGTACTATCATTTTTAATATTGTAATATAATTTTTTATAATAAATTTTAAAGCTAACATTCGTTTCTTAATAGCCTATGACAGTGAAAAGCATTTACAAAATTTATGAGACTTTTATGAATATCTAATGTAGGTGAAAATAATTGTTTTAAATTTTGTTAATTAATTAGATTGATAGAACATTTCTAATTTTGAAGCAATGGAACTATTATTGAATGTTGAGAAATACATGAGATCAAACAGAATAGCATAGATACAAAATAAAATTGCGACCTATACGAGATCACTTAACTCTATATATGTTAATGCTAAAATTGTACGTTGTTTACCAAAAAAAAAAAATTAATTTGTTGATTATATCTTCATGCAATGTAATTTTCTATTGTATAAACGTAGTCACAACTTTCATCATTTAAAACTTTTTGTAAATTGATAATTTTATTGAAAATGGAAAAAACACAAAACTACAATTAAAGTAATTTAAGATTAATAGATATATTTTTTATTTAGTTACTTACCGAAGCAGCTTGTTGTGAATGCTGTACATTAAGATGCTGTTTTGTAAGTAAATCAGACTGTGTTGGTGAAGAAACATAAGCAATATTACTTCCATCGAAATTTTGGGGTGGTAACATCATTGGTACCAAGGGAGGTTGCAAATTCATTGCTGCTAACGCTGGTACGTTGATGCCCATTGGTAACCCCATCATACTCATCATCAAACTTGGATACTGATGGAGTTGCTGTTGTAGATGTGATGCTGCTAATGCATTAATGCACGCAGCTTGTACTTCAGACATATGTTGAGCTAATGTTAAGTGAGCTTGTTGATGTTGAATGGGATTTTGAGGAATGTTGCTTAAAACTGTAGGTGTTACTGAACCTGTACTCGATACGGGTGTATTACTTAATGCTGGTGTAGTATTTGGTGTGGTAGAAGTTGCTTCTGGTGATTTATTGTTTATTTCTTTGTTCTCTGATGAATCATCTTTTTCTTTGTTCTCTGATAAGGTGTCCTGAATATGAAATAATGTTGGTATACTACTGATAGGTCCAGTCGTTGTTGACGATGATGTTGCAGCCGTCACAATGACAGTCTTCTTTTCATATTCACATTTAAACTGTTGTGCATATTTTTCAAGGAATTCACGCGGAACTAAATCACGATGAACTTCTTCGCAATGCGCTTTGAGAACCCATACACTACTAAAGTCCTTATTGCAATGTTGACAAGTACTTTTTTTAATTTCTGGAATAATGTCTTCATCACCAATATCATATTGATCTTGTTCTTTTTCATGGCAAAGTTGATTTTCAATAATTCGATTTTGATAATCTGTATTTATAGACTCTTGAATTGGCATTCGATATGAAGTTACATTTTCTTCTCCTTCTTTCCTTTGCTTTCTTTGATGATTCTCGTTAAACTGCATGACTAAATCAAAGCCGAAACTTTCAAGTAAATGCTTGTATATTTGTGAAGTTTTGTGTTTTGGTTGATAAAACATATCTTGAGAAGTCAGAATACTCAAAGAACTTGGTGATCGTATATTTTTTTCAGATAATCCAGTTGACGATACTGATGGAGGTGGAGTTTTTGATGGTGATATTAATTCTTTCTGAGATGCTGTGATTTGTTGAAAAAGTGCTAGTGGGTTACTAAAAATGCAGTACATTTGTTGATGATTAGACAGCTGCTCTTGAGTAATGAAAAGAGCACTACATTTTGAACAAGAAAACATGGAAGTATTACTTTCTAGATTATTACCACAAGATGGACTATTAGGATTTGACGTAGGTTGTTCGATCAATGGTTTTGTTAAGTCTATTTGTCCAGTGATGGTCAGATCATGAATTTTACTAGCTCGTGTTTGATGGAGAACACTTCTTTTGTGTATATCTAAAGTACTCCCTTGAGAATAAGAAACTTTGCAAATATTGCACTTATAAGGCTTTTTATCTGATTCCAGCTGACTATCACTTGACTCAGTTGGGCTTACGGAAGGTGCAACAGTTATGACAGTATTATTATTGCCTTGTTCTTGCATAGCTCTTTTTAGTTTATGCAAATGACTAACACTGTTATAATGCACAAGCAAGATATTTTTTTGCGTGAAACTTTCTTTACATACATCACATTTGTATGGTCTGTTTGGATCTAAATATTTTTCCATGGGATAAGGCATTTTTTCACCTTTTCTGTGCAACAGTGTTTTGTTGTGTCCAGTTAAATAACATTGCCTTGTAAAAGCAACTTTACACCTGTGACATTTAAATTTTCGTTCAGGATCATTGTAGGAATCTTCGGCTATGGATTGACTATTAAGATATTCTTCTAATAATTGATGTTCTTTACGCAGTGGTGGTAAATCACTAAGATCGTTATCGTCATCGTCACCAGCTTTTGATTCATCTTCATGAATATGTTCATTACTAAATAATCCTTGTTGTCGAAGAGCTTCTTCCGTCAGTGCCTGTAATAAAGGATGAGAACTTATTAGATTTTGCTTGTATTGTGCCAATTCATCTTCTTGCAGTTCTAAGTGAGCTGTTTCCAAATGACGATGAAGTGACTGCACAGATCGGAAAGAACGACAACATATACTACATTTGGTAGCATCTCGGATAGCATGATACTGTGCATGTTGTTGTAGTTTATCTAATGTTTTAAAAGCGAGACTACACTGACCACATCTATATTTATAAACATGTTTTTCACTAACAGCAAGAGATGGCATAACTGTTGAATGAGATTCTCGATGGTGTAATTGAAGTTCTTTTACTGATCTGCATATTCTTTGACAAATATTACACTTTGATATCTCTTCTTCTTCGCCAATTATTTGCTCTAGGTTTTCCTCTTCCTGAGATTTACTGGGCATAAGAAGTTGAGATGTACGGCAAGATATTGACGCATTTGAATTTGGAGGATTGATATTTAACCAATGACTTTGATCTACAAGGTGTAAAAGTCTTTGTAACCCATCAGTGTTTACAGAATGAATTTGCATTACATGTTTTTCTAAATCAGAACGATGTTTGAAACTATCTTGGCACAGAGGACATAACAGTTCTAAGTTCAATTCATCTTTGAAAGTCGTGTTAATTTCGTTATTTTTATGAACATGTCTATCTTGCAGGTGGTTTTTGAGTTCATTACTTGTAGATGCTTGAAAAGAACATAACGAACAAGTTGTATCTTCAGTTTCTATTTCTTGATCCTGTTCTTGTTCTTGATCATTATCTAAATCTTGATCATGTTCTATCTCTTGTTTTATTTCATTACCACAATCGTTGTCATCTTCGCGACGTTCTGAAAAAAACCAAACCATTAATTGCAAAGTTTAATATTTTATTTTTAAATATTTAAAAAAATTTTATAAACTAATTTAATTATAATAGAAAAAAGTGCACTGTATGAATAAACGAAGAATCAATTTTCTTGAAAACCGTGTAAGCAAATTCATACAGAGCAATTTAACAAGACGACTTTTACTTCATTTCAAAAATAAAAATAGTACATAAAACTAATATATAAACATAAATTCTAGAAAAAAACAATAGATACTGTTAAATATAGTATTGTTAAGCCAAAGTTATTGTATAAAGTGTAACGGAGAATCTCAGCTAGGCCGATTTTGTCCGTCTGGCTCTCGCAAATGTCCGTGCGACGCGCCAAGTGGAGAGTGTGTGTGTGTGGTACACATACTCATGTTTGGATTTTTGTTTACGAGGTGCTGTACATGGACTGAGCTAACGGCTGGAGTGATAGAGATAGCGCAGAAGAAGAGGAAGAGAGAGAGAGAATGAGCGCTCGAATCGCGGAAAATTCGAGAGTCTCTACTAGGCTATAAGCAGAGGAAGTCGCGCGCTCGGATTGAACCGAAGGTCACGGTTTTTCCGAAGTTAGCCTCGCGATCTCGTCGACGATTGTTCGTTTTCGGAGACACGCCCGGTGCGCGGGTGCGCGCGCGAGCAGTTTCTACGTTGCCGCAATACCGAGCAACCAATAAAAAGGAAAACAACGACAGCAGCAATCATTGAGTGGAACAACGGATTGAGGCAGCAGTATTGTGAAGCGAACGAGAGGACGAGCAAGAAGATAAACAGCTACAATAACAAACATCAGCGAGACGATCAGTGAGAAGGAGCGCACCAGCGACGTCACACTGCAGAACGTTCCAACCGTCGAAGAGGCTGAAGATCGAGGTCGGTGCTGTGTTTTTCTCTTGTTTCTCTCTCTCTCTCTTGCATGTTTGGGCGCCAGCTTATGGGTGGTAGCGCGGCAGATCTGCTGGCTACCCCGTTGATAGATTAACGGCGGAGAGTGTTTTGTCGGGCATTTGTTGTAACATTTAGTTTTAGATAGGGAATCGGCAGGCTGATCAGCCACCGACTCACCTTCGCGTTAGGATTTGTTATTATGCCGCTCGTAGTGTATAGGCGTAAGATCGCCGTATTGTAATCGATTGTTGACGATTAAAGGATTAGTGTGTTAATCCGCTGTTGTGCTTATTCGCCGCTGTATCACTCCTCATCCCGACTTCGAATCTGTGCATTTAACGTGTTTATGCTCGACACGTTATTCAGTCGTGGGAACGTCTTTTGCTTCCCCAATCCCCGAATAAATAATTTGTGCGGACGGCCCCAAACTACCCAGACGGGAACGGTCACTAAATATCCGTTACAAAAGTAAGTTTTTTAATTATTTTGATGAAATTTTGTAAAACAGCCAGGAGTTAAAAAGTTTTTCTTAGACATATATCTGTACTGTAGAATCAGTTTTCGCAAAACTGACGATGAGATTAGCAATTACTATCTTTCCCTCATCGGGATCCTCTCGACATATAGCGGACTTAGACCGTTATAGCTATTCTCATTCGAAACCTCTTTAAATAATGCAAACTACAAATATATCTCCTAATCATCGACTTTAAATCAATTCGTTTGCCATATTTAACCTTTAGTTATCACACTTCTGGCGTCAATCTTGACTGTTATGCTGAGTAGGCTTGTATACCAGCCACATCATCATCTACTTTAAATAAACTAATATGCTTTTTGCAAAAAAATTATGTTTGCTCTTTCAATATACTTTTATAATATACTTATATATTTAAAGTTTTCAAAATTTACGTTCTTCCCCCGATTCTAATAATTATCTAAAGAATATATGAGAATTTTTTCGGATTTTTTGAGCAATTTTTTGATTTTACAAAAATTGATCAACAGCAAAAACAAAAAATATTCTTAAAATCCTTTTCAAAAATTCCATTGTATTCCTTATATAATTCCAAGAACATTTTCTTTCTTGGTACTTTTTCTATAAGCTTATAGTTTTTGAAAAAAAAAATTCATGTACGTACATAATGGAAAAGTTAAACATTTGAAGCGCTGTTTTGGACAACTCCAGGTAAAGGTTGATCCGGGAATCATATATACGTTAAATCTAAATATTCTTTTTACTGGTTACTAAGGTTCCAACATAATTACATACTGTAACGGTCCAGTCTGATTTAATTTTTTTTTCGTTTCCAACCACTAAACTGCTACCTGTCATGCATAGGAAAGCTGAGGAAAAGCGTTATCAAAACTACGGCGCTATCTCGCGTGTACACATAAGTGTGTTAGGGCAATTCATTAAAATCAAGACCATATAAGGAGCGTGACGTCAGAAGCGTGAGACATTTATTGTTTACGTGTAAAATCAATAATTGCAAAATTTTTTTAACGAACAAAAGCATTTTTTCAGTCAATTTCATTGCGCTAATCTCGAATCTTAGGTTGTAATCATTTAATACGCATTTGTTAACTTAATTTAATTTGCAAGTAAACATCGTTAGTAATTTTGCAATTAATAAATATGATGCGAATTTGAATATATAATGGCAATCCTAGCACCTTAACAATGAGAAGCAAGACTTGGACACTTTGATAACTGATTTTCAACAGTGTTATTAATAAATAAAAAATTTATAATTAATTCTAATAATTCAAATTGCATTGCGAAATAGTGATTCAACTATACATACATGTAAAATTACTGATAACGATTGTCATCCGTTTGTTGATTTTATAATGGCAAAAAGAGTAATTTGCGAGTTATTTAATTATTATTCAAAATCCGTTTGTTAAATTGGTGACTTTAATATTAAATAATGTTCCGCATTATCAGTAAATTTTATGTTATTCACTTATCTAACTTTAATCGCTTATAACTTTAAGAGGCGATTTTTCCTTGAAAAACGACTTATACTAAAAAATTCGTCACCTACGACTTAATTTTTTAAGTTACCAACTTCTAATTTCGAGCGAATCATTTCGCGATCCAACCTATTCAAAATTTGGGCAAATATTAAAAATACGTATGGGCCACCAAACGTATAAAGGAGCCTCTTTCGCTCGTCGCTGCGGCAAGAAAGACGTACAATCCTACCTTGTTTAGCAGCGTGAGCACTGTTTGGAATAAAAACTTAGCTATTTACTCACATCTAATTTTATTATTCAATGGTTAGCTCTACTATTCCCTTTGCTATATAATAATCTAAGAGATCAACTCATAAGACCCTCTCTCTTATAAGGAAAAAGTAGCCTTAGGCTATCTACTCCCCTAATAAAATTAATAATGTCTAGAAATTGGGCTAAGTATTTGTTGCGGCATTGTCAGGCCATTTCTCGACAGATGCAAGAATATTTATTCATATTTCAAACGGCCCGTCGAAGCAACGAACTGCGTGAATGACACTATGTTCGCTATTCGACGATCGAAACAATAGCTATTTCAAAGTACGTTTGCGTGTCAACTTTTGGCTTTCTCTCGGAAACACGATTATAAATATATCCTAGAGTCTGAACTTTAGATATTTAACATAGGATAAGATTGAACGTCACAATGCTGGAAATCTTTTGTAAACTTAGTTTCGAAAACAAAAGATGTGAAAAATTTGTGTATTTTTAAAATTTCATTACCAGGAACAGTCAGCGTTCAGGTCCTTGAGGTGAGAAGACGTGTTGAAATTGTGCTCTACTCGAAAAGCTATAGTATTAGCAAATCAAGTGAAATGATAGTTGAGTTTAAAATTCATTAATGGTACTTCAAAACAAAAGAAAATAACAGTCGGAATAGCCACTCAAACAAGGAACGACATGTCTATTTTTAATAAAAACGAAACTGAAAACTGGAAAACTGTAAATAATAAAAGACAGAGAAGGAGCTCAGAAATACAACAATTTAAGAAACGACAAACACGATCGTCAGATTACTGACTAAGTAACAGAAGAAACAGGTACGAAATACTGCAAGAAAATACAGAAATTTAAAGTGACGAAGAAAACAACAAAACAAATAAGTTGAAAAGCAAATCCCCTCCGATTTTCGTTTACAATAAGAAAAAATCAAACCGATAGAAAATCTCCTAAATATCATAACCAAAAAAATTACACCTTAAAAGTGATAGGACAAAACAAAATTAAAATTCAATCAACAACTTCGGAAAAATATTTGCCAATTATTACCGCATTGATAGAGCACAACATGTAATTTTACACTTACCAGCGCAAAGAACATGAAGGTTTCAAAGTTATTTTAAGAAGCATTCATCCGTTAGTTGATATAGATGAATTAAAAACAGGCATAGAACACGCATATAAAATAACAAATATTTATAATATAAGGCATCACATCACAAAACTACTATTGCCGCTTTTCATAGTTGAAATTGAACATGATTATAAAAGCCAGAAAATTTATGAATTAAATCGACTATTAAGAACGGTAATCAAATTCGAGCCACCGAACTTAAAAGAGAAATTCCTCAATATCAAATATGCCAAGAATATAAGCATACAAAAAACTATTGTTACAAAAGCGTGTGAAATATGTTAAACAACATCAAATTAAAGAATGTCCTATTAAACAAAAAATAAAAGACTAATATGTGCAAATTTCAAAGAAAATTACACCGCAAATTATAAAGGATGCCCAGTAAAAACTATTTTCTAAACTACGAGAAAAAAAATTAAATCAAAACAGTATTCAAGTTCATCAAAAGCCAAATTCAAATGTAAATGCCAACGACAATAGTGTTAGACCAAACATAACATATGCACAGGTAATATCAAAACAAAACGATCAGCGTGAGATAGAAATATCAAAATAAACAGTTGTTCAAGCAGTGCTAAGTATACATACCAACGAAGTGAACATAAATAATAAACTCGAGCATATAATGGAGCAGTTAATGCAAAGAATGGATATAATTTTAAATCATTTAACTGTACTACTAAACAAAATGGCATAATGAGCTCTCGAAA